GGGCTGCCAGTGCACACTGGCTCATGTCCGGCTTGTCATCTGCCAAGTCCTTCTCCACTCTCAATCCCTTCATTCCCCAGTCTGTGCTGCCATCGGGGGTTCCCCTGACCCATGTGCAGGACCTTACACTTGGCCTTGTTTAACCTCACGAGGTTCACATGGGCCCACTTCTCCAGCTTGTCCAGGTCCCTCTGGATGGCATCCCATCCCATCCCATCCCATCCCATCCCATCCCATCCCATCCCATCCCTCGGGAGCGTCAACCGCACCACTCAGCTTGGTATCATCTGCACATTTGCTGAGGGTGCCCTCCATCCCACCACCTATGTGGCTGATGAAGATATAGAACAGCACTGGCCTCAGTATGGACCCCTGAGGGACACCACTCATCACTGGTCTCCATCTGGACATTGAGCCATTGACTACCCCTCTCTGGATGTGACCATCGAGCCAATTCCGTATCCACCAAACAGTCCATCCACCAAATCCATCTCTTTCCAATTTAGAGAGAAGGACGTTGCGGGGGATCCCACTGGATCCCTTACCCCCGCTGGGAGGGGGTTTGCATGGGTCGTGCCCCGTGGCTCTGCCCCTTGCCTGTCCCTGTGCCTCAGAGCAGCCTGATGGAGAGCAGCTATGGGATGCTGTCCCCTGCCTGTGTGGGAAGCGGGGGGCAGACGGGGGTCCCGGCAGCTCAGCTCCAAGCCCTGAGCCCTGCGCTGGGCAGCTGCGGTCCTTCCGCTCGCTTTACAGCTGCCGTAAAATCAGAGTTGGACCTGGAGCTCCTCTTACACGGGCACAGCCTCAGGATTAACCTCTCCCTGCCGGCCCCGGGAAACGGGAGTACCAGCAGCGACGCAGGAACCCCCCTGAGGTCCCCTCTCCCCGCGAGCATCCAGCACGTGCCCTGCACCCCGGCTTTTTGGCAAACCTGCAGCTCGCTTAGGGGCGACACGGCTCATCCCTCCCTGTCTCACCTGGGGGTGACTTCATTACTCAGTGGAAATGCCCCAATTGAGAAACAGGGCATTTTCTGGGCTCTTTTCCCGTCCTGGCTGCACACACGGTCCTGTGGGGACACTGCGCTGCCCCTTCCCGCTCGCAGTGACCGGTGGGGGGCAGAGGGCCACATGTCCCGGGATCTGGGACAGCCCCTCCATGGGTGACGTGCAGGATTCCCAGAAATCTGGGAATTCTCCTGCCTTCCCTGCCACCTTGTCCCTGCCCGCTCACCCCCC